CCAGCTCTCTTGACATGTTGTTACTAGGATGCTTGAGTGGAAGGGCATGTTTGCGAGCGATGCACCTCTTCTTGAGGAACAGAATCTGCTGCCTGACTTCGTTGACTTTACTGAGGACTGCTCGTGCGGTTCATATATGAGTACCACAAATCGCTCCAATGACATCCATGCTGGTATCAAATCAAACGATCCTCCTGGCAGTATCAGCAGTGGGCTTTACGAAACCGCGTGAGTCTGGCCGGAACACTCTCCAACGTCCCGATGCCGTCTTTTCTCTTCCACGAAAGTATGGAACCGTATCAACGACCATATTTAATGCATGAGACATCGGTCGGTTTGAAAAACATGGAAAGGTTACGGAGCTTGCTTGAAGAACCATATGAGACCACAGCTCATCTAACGGGAGAAACCTGGAGCAAATGGAAACGGCCAGCGACAACAACATCATATTTGTTACTTCGGCATCTTTATTCGTCGACTCGCTGATGTGGCTCAGTGGCAGCTCCACTGAATGCCATCATCGCGGGAATCAGCTCTCTCGTGAGTACACGGCCGCAAGAGCAACTCATATCCTGCACTCTTCAGTTGCCTAAGCGGATCTGTAACGCGCAAATATGGAGTGAAGTACTCGTCAAAGGTCTAAAGCGGACTTTTGGTTGGAGCCATCTGACCACAACGGCTCCATCTATAATAATTGCATTCCCTCTCATCCTTGTCGTCTGATAGTCACGAAGTAGTGTCCACAAACTATTCACATTTGGTGTTCTTTGCCCTATATTAGAACACAGTGCGCTACAAGACGTTGTGTTTACGTACAGATGGTTGTCTGGGATGTGTAGCAAGGAAGGACAGCCTAAAGGCCACAAAGGACGACAGAACCGTAGAATCTGGTAATCATCTCCGGGTGCGACAATACACCAAGATTCCTGTTAACTGGAAGAACTTCCTTCGCTGTGATGCAAACAAAGACAGCCTGTTCAACTTTCTAGCCAAGTGCATATACAAGGAGTTTCAACCTCCTCGCACAGAGCTAGTGATGCTCCAACACATGGCCAGAATTGCTGTATCATCTCCATAGCTTACCTGTCAGATTTGTTACTGCGCACTCCACGAAAGAAGCGAGACAGCACGCGCTGCCTGTTTCATGCTTTCCGCATTCATTCCATCATGGGTTTACCAAGCTGATGATACATGCATGATAACTGATGTGGTGGTTACCGTAATGTGCAGTGTCAAGTGTTTTACAGGACTGGCGAAATATTGATTAGCATTTGGTCATTGGTGCTAAACTACGATGACATTCAGTGCCACCTAATTGACAGCTGAATTAGAACAACGATGCCATCATGGAGCGTCTTCTATTCTTCCACGGCAATATCAGGGATGTGATACTGTTTCTGCCTTCCATGGAATTGGAAAGAGAAAGCTTGGGCTGTTTGGGTGGGCAGTAATGCCTCATCTCAAAGACGGATATTTGCCTCGGTGTATCCCATGCCCAAGCCAGGTATCCCCCAACGGAACGTGGAGCAAATAGAGAAGATATGTTGGTTCTCCTTGTATCTGCGAACATCAGCACTCAGCCATGTGAATGAAGCCAGGAAAGAATGTTCAGCTTGAAAAACGCGTAAGATGGAAACAATTCCTCCAACGTTGCATGCCCTGGAACAGCATGTGAAAGGGCTGTTTGCAGGCAGGCACATCTGGCGAGCAGTCACTTATAGGAGACCCTGAAGCTTCCATTCGCCAGATTTATGGGGCTGGGAGAGAGTGACAGATGATTCCCCAGTGACTCCTATGCTGGACCACGTCTCCAACGAGCCAAAGCTAGTCATGAACTGTTAAAAATGTGGGATGCAAAAAAGTCTTGCTACTAAAAAGATGCAAGGGTGTGTCATAGCAAATCTCGAGTGTACACACAGTTGTGCTTCTGTTCAGGACAGTGTAACAGAGAATAAGCAAGCAAATCTGAAGGCATATGAGATAGCTGCCATGGATCAATTAATAATGACATGACACACCAATTGCGATTGCTGTTTACACGGCAATAGCACGCGTGCCTTCTATGGCGTGCACTGGTTGCTTCATGGAATCTGAATGGCAACGACGTTTTTGGGCGGGCACGCAGGTGTACCGCTGTCGCAAATGTAACAGAAATTAATAACTGAAGTATAGATGGCATGTCTGTTTAAATTTTCATTCATAATTTTTTTTCACAGTGTTCTAACTCTACGATTCTTTGACGTCTAAAAAACATTTTGATATATTGTATTTTTTAATTTGAAGATGTTGTTAGGATAATTTCATGTTTCCCAATCGGTTGCTTTGACATAGAAAATAAAAAACAGGTATAGATACCTAGATCCTGGTAACCGTGGCACGTTTAGCCATTTTTATGGCAAAGAAATGCGTTATGTGGCAAGCCATTTTAAATTTAAATATTTTTTGGCGGAAGATGTTAGATGATAGATCAGCGATGGTGTTCGGTATACCCGTTCTAGATGGTGCATTGACCAAAACAATGTATAAGACCAAGATCACGGTACTTGGCGGGACTTACCAGCTGATTTATGCGGCAGAACTGGGGTTTGTGTGGCGGCAATTTTGGAATTTGCAGCTTTTGGCGGGAAGCATATATCTTATTGATATTATGACCATGCGTTTTGATTGGTTCAAAAACATAAGGTATAGGCACCAAGCATCATTGTAATCGAGGCCACTTACTAGCTGATTTATGGCAAAAAACATGTTTTCTGGCTGGGGCCATTTTTAATTTAATTTTGATTTTTATTTTTGGCGGGAAACGTTGGAGTGACAATCGTGTTTCCCGCAAAATTTTTGAAATCGGCAAATACTCAAAAACCCCCTTTAGGGCAAATTTTCATGCTTCTTTCAGAAAGTGGCACACCTCGGACAGCGATATCTCGGCCTCACTAATGTTATCTATGTTTGACATTCCAACCACAGGTACCCAAGCGAAATTCGTAAAAACTGTAAAGAAAGGTCACGTGATCATATCGTTGCAAACATTTTCTAGCAGCAGAATATCCAAATATGCAACTAATATATTCAGTTCCAAGTTTATTTTGTACTAGAGCTTCGTTAAAAGCCGGCCATGTTTTTAGTTTTCATGGCATCCTCTAATAGATTTTCGGCCTCAGTTTCCATGTAGTCAATGTTAATGCGAGATCTGATATGAGCTTAACTAGATGGACTTCACATATCACACAATTAGTATTGTTACTATGGTTAGAAGTAATTGTGTCCATACAAGTTTCATGCCTCATTTTTTGATAGATCACAGAAAGTTGAAGCAATTCATGGAACTTCACCGGTTTTCTGCTGAGACTCGCATAAGCAGCACGTGGTACTAATAATGCGATCAGAGGCCTTTCAAAAGCATTGCCCTTATGTTTCGGTTCACAGTTGTTGAAAATGGGATATAACTTTTCAAAAACCACATTGTACGTTTGGACCGATATCTCCTCGATTTGTCAATTTTTGTGAGACAACGATTTAGACACGGATAAGTTTAATGATTAAGGCAAACTTTAGCTCAAGTTTATCGAGGTAAACACAATAAATCATAGGTAGACTAAGGCTACTAAATGTTGAATTTTGCCGGTTTTCAGTCTGTCTCACTCCTATTGATCACTCCTGATAATATATATATATATATTTATATATATATATATATGTATATGTTATATATGCCAATGATGACAAATATATATATATATTGTGGTAAGTAAAGCAAGTAAATATACACGCGCGCACGCGCACACACATACACTCATGTATATATACGCGCATGCTGTTAACAAAACGCAAGCTCTTTTGCATATATGAGAGTCGGGAGGTAAATCATCTAAACTGCCGTTATTCCGCGACTGATATGAATCATATGATAAATATGCAAAATGGAATGCGCGATAAGATTATGCGAATTGTATTTATCGGTCAACTCAAAAAGCCAAATACAAAAATTCGCGAGCGCGTTTACGAGGTAGGCCGTTAATCACGAGCTCGCTATGTATTACGGCTTGTCTGGCGGGGAGCGTGCAAGCGCGTGCGTCATCATGCAGCAAGAGACATGCCCGCAAGGCCCATCTGCGATAGCACGTCTTTTACGTTGCGCGAATCAACAAGCGTGTAGTCCGTCAAAGTGTTGTCGTGCTGCCTGAAACGAGGAGGCAAGCGCTCGCGAGTGCCGGCTGGAAATGCGGCTGCTTGATATCGAATGTGCCAGTTGACGATTGACTAATGTACTGTACGTAGCAGATGGTATATTACGTGTGCGCCGTATACGACGATCCTTTTTACGCTAGCCTATATATGAAGACATGGGGCGACAAACAAGAAACAATCTCCGTTGGCTTATTATTAATTGCTTTATTATTAATATCTTATTACTGATACATGGGGTGTATTTATATATATATATATATATATATATATTATATATATATCAAGAGCTAATAATTATATATTGTATATCATAATTGTCTTATTATTAGCCCTTTATTATACTATTAATATATATATTATATATTATATATTATATATATATATATATATATATATATATATATATATATATATATATATATGTATGTAAATATATATACATATAGGCATGTGCATTTATTTATTAACATTTAAATATTTATATATATTTATAAACCCGTGTATGCTAATCGATAATGGGGAATTCCAAGCGACACGCGCAGCGCCCTCGAGGAAAAGACAGCATTAGAAGCGCACGAGAACACGCAAACCGACAGACGAGCGCGCACCCGAGGGTATATCGGCTCCGCGGCAGAGCTAATATTTGTCTCGTTTCTTCTAGAAGCCTCGACGCGAGACCGCTGACGCCTGACGTCTCAGCCCACCATGGTTCTTCGTCCGCTCGTCGTCAACGCGAGCGGCTCCCCAGCCATCGCGGCGGCGGCAGCGGCAACGGCTGCGGCGGCGACGGTGAGCAACGGCAGCAACTCGCAGCTGCCGCCGCACGAGAACGCGACGGGCGAGCCGGCCGTCAGCATCCCGGCGTCGGTGTTCGTCGCCATCTTCCTGTCGCTGATCATCGTCATGACGATAGCGGGTAACGTGCTCGTTGTGCTGTCCGTGTTCACCTACAAGCCGCTGCGGCAGGTGCAAAACTTTTTCATCGTGTCGCTGGCCGTCGCCGACATGCTCGTCGCCGCACTCGTTATGCCCTTCAACGTCGTCTACTCGATCGCCGGCTATTGGGTTTTCGGCGACGTCTTCTGCTACATGTGGCTGACGTGCGACGTACTCTGCTGCACGGCGTCGATCCTTAACCTGTGCGCTATCGCGCTCGACCGCTACTACGCGATACACGACCCGCTGAACTACGCGCAGAAGCGCACGAAGCGACGCGTGCTCACCATCATCTTCTTCGTCTGGTTCATCAGCTCGCTCATCTCCGTGCCGCCGCTCATCGGCTGGAACGATTGGTCGGAGGAGGCGCAGGTGTCCGTGCTCGAGGAGTGCAAGCTGACGGAGGAGCGCGGCTACATCATCTACTCGTCGTCCGGCTCCTTCTACATACCGCTCATCATCATGGCGACCGTGTACGTGAAGATCTTTCTCGCCACGAGGCGGCGTCTGCGCGAGAAGAGGAAGGTCGCCAAGCAGGTGTACAGCAACACGCCGATGTCGCGTCCGATCAAGTCCGAAGTCGATCCGTCGTCGTCGGATCCGCCCAGCGAGACGCTCGGCGGCGAAACGGCGGCCGACACCAACGCCAGCGATCTGACGATGAGGTTTCCGGCAGAGTTCTGCGCGACGCCCGGCGAGAAGCTGCCGTTGCAGGCGCTGCAGGAGCCGCTCAAGCCGCCGACGCCGTTGACACCGCCGCCGCCGACGTCAAAGCCGACGACGCGTAAGGCGGCGAGCGGCAGAAACGGCGCGCACGCGGCGAAGAACGGCGACCGGCAGACGAACGCAAAGAAGCCGGCGAAGAGTCACTTCTACGGCTTTCTCGAGGAGAAGCAGAAGATCTCGCTGTCGAAGGAGCGGCGCGCCGCTAAGACGCTCGGCATCATCATGGGTGTGTTCGTGCTCTGCTGGCTGCCGTTCTTCCTCATGTACGTCATCCTGCCGTTCTGCGCCGGATGCCAGCCGCAGGTCGCCGTCATCAACTTCATCACGTGGCTCGGCTACGTCAACTCGGCGCTCAATCCCGTGATATACACGATATTTAATATCGACTTTCGACGAGCGTTTCAGAAGCTGCTGAGCGTCAAGTGTTGATCTCGCAGCGCGGTGACAAAAATTAATGGAATCGCGTGCGTTTTGCGTTCAAAAACCAACCCTCCTGTTGTGGACAAACCATTGCGTGTTATACCCATTGTGCGCGCGCGTGTGTGCGCGTGTGGGTGTGGTTATAGCAGGCATAGCGACGAAGGAATGGTTACGAGACACATGTCACGGTATAGTAATCAAACGCGGAGAAGATCATTAATCAATTAATTAATAAATATATAATTATCGACCCCCACCTACAGATTAAAGCTCGTGTATACACTTTCGCAGGCGCCATCTTGTGGTGAATGCCACTATCACAAAAGGCTCTTAAGGAATAACGAAAAACAGCACGAAACCCGATGTGAATAGAAACAACATGTCGTTTAAAACACAAGGTATTTGTAATGACAATGTGATGCACCGTATATGACCCTCAAGGTGTATGGACACGCGATCCAGCTAATGTAACGCAATAATGGGAAACGACGTGGGTAAAAGCTACAGGTAACGATAATGTATCTAGTCCCCCAAGGCAAATGTAATCTTCACAAATGTCGAGCTTCGCTCCTAAATCATATTTCTTATTAATGACATCATTACGCTTGCCTTTCATCTGGAATTGTCGGTAAACGTAGGTGTCGCAGGGCTTTTACTGTGAGTGGCTTCGTCATAGTTAAAAACGTGAAAATTCAACGCCGCGTACCACAACAACGCCGTGGAAACACTTGTAATAAATTTTACGATTCATTAAATTACATGGCCAACTAATATTGATAATTTATGTCTCTGTGCTTTCAATGGTAATTACATTGACTGTCTGAATCGGATTCTTGAAAGAGCGCGCGCGTGTGGACGCAGATTTCGGCGAGCGTTTCCCACGCGTGCGTCATGTTACGAGCCGACTTTCACATGCGCGGTCGTTTTTGTTGCACTCAGCCCACACAGTTAATCGAATTTCAACGAAACGCAAATCTTGGAAAGCAAAGTAGGTGGTCGTATTCGCGTCATCTGTGACGCGGCTACTTCTTTTTTACGGGATGCGTTTAACGTCGACGTCGTTATCGAGTCGCGCTCGCGATTTACAACCGAAGTCAAATCCCCGATCGAGAACTGCATTTCCTGACAGCTGCAACTGTGTTTTACGTAAATAACAAATAAAAACAGCGCCAATCCCCCGCTTCGCGCGCACGCTACGTTCTCATGACGAGATTTCATCGGCCGGTTTCTGCGGCGTTAAGCTGCACTTTAACGTTATATTACTCATCTACGAAAGTAATAATAATTTCGTAGCAATCATGATGAGCAACCGCAGAAGTTTCGTGCATTATGCACGAAACTATTGTGTCTATACGTTGACGTGAAAACGTCATCTTTCGTAACGACATAGACCTGTTAGCTATCGGACACCGACTTAGCTATCCGAGCAGGTCGGTGCATTTTGCACGCTGTGTAAAAGAAAGCTGGCAGACGTCTCGTAATCTATCATCAAAACAACGCCGAGGCAATGCGGTGGCAAGCTTCGTTAATCAAAACCCAGAATTACATTGGACGTAAAGTCATTCCAAACTCAGACAACGTTACGAAACGATTTTAGCGTTACGCGGCACATCCATTGCCTCGCCCGCATTCGTTCACTAATCAACATTTTTGGCAAGGATAGTCGAAAATGAGTATTTAGTCGCCGCACGAGCTCCGGTATGTGCGGCACTTGTGTGAATCACGACTAAAGTTATTCTGATTCACATGAACATGGCCGTCACGGAGCAAATACAACGCATCGACCTTCCGGAAAAGTGTTGAAGAATTGTACTACGTATGCAGTGTAGTAGCTCCCAGCAAGCTGCGGCTATAAATGCTAGTAATTAACCGCTTATATGTGTGCGCGTTCGCTTAGCGCTCGACCTGCATACATACGGCTTCATGATCGGTGTGAGATATGACAATTATACACACATCATCGGGCACAGATGCGTCTGATGCGTCTATATAAAGACGACGCCTGATAACCTATCACGTGGTTGCGTGTTGCCGCGCAACAGTTTTATATAGCCACGCGGAAAAAACGAAGTCGTTAGACAGTTGAATGGTGAAATAAATTTTGTATATCGATCAATCAGTCTCTGCAGTGCTTGGTTCGTACACGACGTCTTTCATACGCACCATATATCCACATGGTTTCTGGATTAATACAAAAATGGCTTCGTTACTAATAGACAAATAATCACCAAGACACGGCGCTGCTCGTGCGCCTGTTTAATCACAATTACTGAAGCTTAATTATAATTAGCAAATAATCAATGAATACAGGGAACAATGGACATGAAAGATGGCGAGATAGAACGTAATTAACCTAACTCTTGCGAGAGCCAAAACAAATTTACAAAGCGATGTCGCGCTATAGTTTAGACCTATAGCCTGGAATTCCTCCCCACTTCGACTCGGACTATGTTTACATTCCTTTACATACACGCAGACTAATACATCTAACGAAGACGTGTTTACTTGGAAATGCTTTAAGCAAGCCTAGCTATGGCATCAATTTACAGCGTTCGGTTAGAGGTTGACACATTTGCGATTGAACGCCTGCGGCAACCTGATTACAAAGGCATTCGCTTGGAAAATAAGACGCGACGTCGGAGCGCTTTTAGCACTAGCGACGAAGGAGCATCGCTCCGTCGACGCTCGCATGTCGCTTATATACGCAAGCGCTGCCATTCGCCTGCCCTCGGTTGTCAGCGTTATGCGGTTTCGCTGTTGACCTCTAGAGCGACTACGCTTTCTACTTACCTTTACTGCGTCGCGACTAGTACGCGAGTCGTAACTAGTTTAAACATCGAGAAGTGTGACAAGCTGTTGGTTAAGTATTAACATTTAATAAGTCTCGGCTGCTAAGACATGTCGTGTGCTAACGTGAAAACTGAATTTCGTCGGGCGCTCGCCGCGCTGTCGTGCAGCAGAAAAGTCGCCGTGTTGCATCGTATTCTGGTATGTGTGTGCGTGTGTGTGCGTGCGTGCGTACGTGCGTGCGTGCGTGTGTGTGTGTCTGTGTATGCGTGCATGCGTGCGTGCGCGTGCGCGTGCGTGTGCGTGTGCGAATGCGTGTGCGTGTGCGTATGCTTGTGTGTGTGCGTGTGTACGCGCGTGCGTGCGTGTGTGGGTGTACAGCAATCGATCAGAAACTGTGTTAAGGAATTCATATACACATTTCATCGCATTAACATTTGGCGAGACGTGCTGGCACTTGCGCGCCTGATGACGGAATTCAATACGGCGGTCTTGACTTTCCGTGACATTTACTTACGCCATCACGAATCAATAAGACTGAGTCGCCCATTCACGACTCGCTCCTATAGCCGGCGAAGGATTTTTTCGCAGCAGATGATATAGCTGGAATGTTTTTGCGACTAATTCTGCTTGTCGGCACGAATTAAGCTCTAGGAGACGGACAAATTTGCCGATAGAAACATCGTTTAGGGATCTTCGCGCGGCCGCCGTTTTCATTCGCAAACGCCAACATATATATTATCGGCTTATCGATGACCAGGGAATGCAGTTCTGCGCAAAAGAGCACTAGCTAAACGTAACGAAGGTAACCAAATCTGGGTCGCATCGATCGAACACAACATGTCTTATAAACTATAATATATATATATATATAATAATATTATATATATATATTATATATATAATATATATTCGACGTAGAAATACCACGGATATCTATGAGATATAGAAAAATATGAATATAAAATAGCATGAAGAAAAATTGAAACCTTATCCTATTCTTTATATTTTTATTTTCGACATATATATATATATATATATATATATATATATATATATAGTTAATAATATACATGGTATGGGTATGTGGGAGGAGTATATGTAGATACTATGCGAGCTTTAATAATTTTTGACACATTTTTATCGTGTAATAGAACATGAGAAATGTATATTGAGTATGAGTAATAATTAATAACGATTACTCGTATTAGACATAATTATTAGAAAATTGGCAAAGTTTGTATATATTCACTTGAATATTCACATATAATTAATGCTGATCATGCGCGAGGGCACTTCGCGATGATACTGAATGAACAAATCATGCGTTGTATTACTCATAGTCACCGCGGCGATGATTATTGTGTAGCTAGACTATTTCGTAGTTTGACTATTTTCCAGAGGCAAGGAATTTGAAAATTACCGAATTACAACGTTGGCACTAAAATGGAGCTCTCTCATTCGTTGTTTGCGTGAAGAATAGTTCGGTAATTACGTTTACAAGGGGTTTTAGGTTTTAGCTTTTAGTTTTATGTAGTTTTAGTACATTATCAAATTCAGCTGCAATGCCCTTGTAGATTGCTGCGATAATGTATATATAACACACAAATCAGTTTCGGGCGCAATATAGTGACACATTTTTAATTTACGGCTCATGAATGACTTGAATATACTGCAACACTATTTTCATAGATATCAACATACGGAAATATATATATATATATATATATATATATATATATATATGAAGATATATATGTCAGCAACCCATGAATAGAATGTGTAGTCACAGACATCAACAGCTCATGGGAATATAATAATATATATATATATATATATATATATACAGGAGTGAATAATATATATATATATATAATATATACAGGAGAATGAATAAGTATATATATATATATATATCTTTATATATTGATCACAGATCACAGACTGGCTGCAATGTCAGATAGCAACCCACGAACGGAGTCACAGGCAGAAAACAGCGCCTGGGAATATATATCGATTACATGTCACAGGACTGGCTGCGATGTCAGATAGCAACTAACGAGCGAAGTGTTATAGTCACAAATATATCAATCACTTAATGGGAGTCTATGTATGTTATATATATATATATATATATATATATATATATATATGCATATATATAATATATAGAGATATATATATATGCATATATATATATATATATATAAATTGGTTCTAGATATACCGGAGTGGCTGTAGTCTCAGGCAGTAACTCATGAACGGAGTATTTAGTCACATATAGCAGCACATAGAATAACCCGCGTTAGAAACTGCAGTAGCACTTGATGGCGACACGCTATAGAACGAGAACACTAGCCCGCGAAACGTGTCGATGTACTATTATTTACTGGAGGGACGTCATGCGACCTCAATGACCTCACCTTTATTAAGACGTGCATGTCGCTTCTGCTTACTAGAAAACATGGCAGCTAAACCAGGGGCTTCCAGCAACAGCCACTCATAATAGATTTAGCGAGTAGCATTTGGCACAGTCAACAAACCCAGACCAACACATGCACAGTAACGTGTATTGGAAAGCCGTAACACGGGACTAGCGTGATATCATTCATAGATCATTAGGCGGCAAGTAAAATATATCGTTCCTACATATTAAATTCTGTGACTACTTCCAATACTCCGCCCTATAAGCACTCGTATTTACGGCATAGACACATTTTTTTTCTCATGCACATCACTAATTCACATAGATTTGAATGATTCTTGTTAATCGTGTGAATCGAACAGCGACGCACCGTCCGCCATATTGTCCACGAGGGTTGTATGCACGTGATGTATGCACATCAATCAGGTCCACTATATGCATCGCATATATGTGCACAGTAAGCGCATCGCAAGGTGCTCATGTTTGTGGAATAGTCATATCTCCACGTATGTCGAATATCGGCA